ACGAGATATAACACCTCCCACCACTCAGTCTCCTATTCCCAAGCCAAATCTCAGCACCTAGAAGACTCTTGGGTCCATGAGTGCTGATGGAAATGATTATCGTGATCAACATTAAATCATCCAAGGGTCACCTTTGAGCCAGGACATAGCACCTAGAACAGTAGAGCAATTGCTTCTTGGCCTTTTGGCTAAGATCAAGAGTAGAACAGTAGAGCTTCCAATGATACAAACAGCCTGCCGCAGCACATGTGCCATAGGTTTGCCACCACTGATCTGCAGTTTGGTTAAGAGGTAGTACACAATGTGAAACAGGAATAGTGCTGAGTTCTGTTCCTAATTGGGTGATGTTAGGCAATTCCCTTGGCCTCTCTGGAGCTCAAGTTCACAAATGCCTAATTGAAGGGCTCAAACTAATCTTCATTAAGGTCCTTTTGGCTTCACAGTATGGAATTTTGGAATTCTGCCATGTCGTCTTCTACTGATCTTCTGGGCCATTACTGGGCTCACCAAAGAATCCATGTAAAGTATCGTGGAAATGAAAGAAACTACTTTGGGCAGTCATGCCAGGACAATGGATGACACTGGACTACCCCAGAAACACCAGGATAGGAGAGTCCCCTGGGTTTTAATCCAGTCTCTGTTGACCAGGCTTCAGATTTGGGGTTGCTACTTATGGTAGCAGAGAGAGGGCTATTTGTGATGTGTGGTCAGGGATTTCAAGAAGGTTGCACACATGAGTTCTAGAGCAGGTCACATGTGCCACCACCATGCAGTTGACAGACTTGGACCCCTACTTGCACCCAGTGTTGACAGAGCCTCCCAACCCTACCCTCCTGCATCCATATCCTTCAGTAGTCCATGATCAATCAGTCACTGAAGAGAATATTTTATATCCCTTGGGCTCAAGTGCACAGATAATGTAATCACAGAGAAACAGATACCTGAATTAAATATCCATTACCCCCAAACACAGGTCACATTGGTTATTGTCTCTACAATCACTCTTACCTTTCCCATAATGGGTACAAGTATCCAAAATTAAAGGTGTGTTGGCTACACTGTACTTGTACTTTCTTACTGAACAAAACTGATCAACCTGAGTAGATGTGCAGAGAGAAGGTTCCCAAGTTCAATCATTGTTAGTGTTGAATTTGCCTTACCTTGAGATTTGTAAGAACAACTATTTCTCATGCACACTTAGTTTCCAAAGCTGCTTGAAAACTCCAAGTCCCATCTCTCCTAAAGTTTAGAATATTCGTGCCTCAAAAAGGCAATCTAGGGCTGGGGATGTAGCTCAGTGGTTCCGCCGCCTGCCTCGAAAGCATAAGGACCCGAGTTCGATCCCTGGTACCAAAAAAAAAAAAAAAAGGCATCTAATGCCAAAGCAAATAATCATCATTCCAAGATCATGAAGGCGACTGCCACTAACTCGACTATCTTTGGACTCTTACCATTTCTAGGCACACCTTAGGATCAGATCTTAAAAGTGTATAAGAGTCAGAGCTTAGGTTTTAGGTGTGCCTATACAAAGATTAAATATTGCCTGTGACTGCTCAGAACTAGTGGCTTAGGCAGATAATGTGAAGGACAGAGAGAAGAGAGTGGCTACCTCTTGACCCTTAGTAATTCCCAAAGTGGCTGCTGAAAACTTCCTTACTCCTCCACTTTGTATCACATAGAATGATCGGAGCTGACATCAAAGCTCTGGGGAAATACTGTGGCTGACAGAGCAGTAGAGCCTGAATGGTGGGGAGAAGAGACTAGAGATAGGACTATAACTGTAACAGGAGTGGGGGACTGTGGAGTATGTCACAAGGCCTGGTCACTGTTGATTTCCTAGTGCGCCATGTGCACACAGTCGTCACTGTTACTGCTTTGAACATGAGCACATTGAGATTTTTCCAGGGAATTGAATGGAACTGGCTTTCCAAGGACAGACATATTTTCCAGGAAAATGGAAAAGGGGAAAGGGAAAGAGACACTAACTAAAACAGGAAATGGCACCGAACAAAGGGCACAGAGGCTAGATTCACCTTATCCTCTAATTTGGAGTTCTAAATTCTCAATTTCAAACATTTTAAATTTTTCACCAATTGATCAACACCTTCTTTAGTCAGACACCTTGCATCTCTGCCTTGTTACAAAAGGTGCCAGGAAAGTGCTTTTCACTTCTGTTATTTATTGTTCTCAGATGAGAATTCTCACGGTATGAACGGATCCCAGAATAGTGAACCAGCACCATCCAAGCTAATATGGTGCACCCATCAAATGGTTGTGGCCAAGTCCTCATGCCAGCTCCCAAGTAGACCAAGGTTCTCTCTGTCTGAGGTGGGGAAGGGTCTCTGTACAACCAGAACCATATCACAACCCATCTTTAGAAGAGTCACTGGGGGGAAGAAGAGGTCAGAAAGATTTTAGAAGTGAAAGAGCATCTCAGAATGAAGACTTTGTCCTTGTCCCATTCTCTTTGTAACCATGCCTGTGGCTCTGACAGATGATGAGCAGTCTGCCTGCAACAACAAAGCAGATTTTTTGAGTTTTATGATAGTAATGTGGTGTCATGGAAAGAATAAGGGCTTAGAAGTCCGATGGTTCTCTGATGACCCCAGTAGCCTCTTGTACTCTTTCCCAGTGTAGGTTCTACAATTTAATTGAGCTTCATGCCAAGAAAACATGGACTATGGAGAGATATCAACATGGGAGTCAAACTTAAATTTCTCAAAGACAAGGCAGGATTGTAAATGTGTGGGGCTGGCCTACTAGAGACAATACAGGAGCCTCATGTTCATCCAAAGGAAGGGGGGGCGCAATGTCTGTGGAAGAATTCAAAGACCTTCCTATTACCCTGCTGCTTGCACTGCTCATTGGGCTGAATGAATCCTGGGTATATCATGGAGTCATCTGTGAGTCACCTTATTTACATCAGCACCCTTATTTTACCTAAAGCACATGTCACAGTCTTCCTCCTTTTAAGTTAAAATAATTATAGTTCACTGTACTGGAAACCCCTTGGTATGGTTTGGATATAGTTGCATGTGCTCCCCAAAGGCTCACATGCTGGAAGGATGGTCCCCCGTGTGGTGGTGTTGAGTGGTGGAACCTTTAAGAGGTAGGGTCCAGTGGAAGGAGACTGAGTCAAGAGTACATCACTCTCTGAAGAGATTAACACTGGTCTCAAAACACGAGTTACATCTCAGGAGACTGAGCTGTTATAAAAAGAACAGACCTGGCTCCTGATCCCTCTGGGTTCTAGTCTCACCACATGTGCTTTTCCTTTCACATGTCCTCTTGCTATGATGCCACTGCTAAGGAGCCCTCACTGGAAGCTGAACAGATTGTCTCACCAATATTGGACTTTGGTCTCCAAAACTATGAACTTCGTTGGTTTTTGTTCTTTATTTTTTTTTTTTGGTACCAGGGATCGAACTCAAACCTTGCACTTGTGAGGCAGGTGGTGGCACCACTGAGCTAAATCCCTGGCCATTAAAAAAATTTTTTTTGCTACCTAGTCTCAAGTGTTTTATAATAGCAACAGAAAATGGACTAATATGGCTCTGTTGCTCAATTTGGGGTGGGGGGGTGTTAATTCTACAGCTTATTTCAAGACATAAGTCAGACTGTTCTCAGCCAACTTTCTTATACCACCACCTCCAGAAAGCATATCATATCTATAATTCTATGCAGCACCTCTTTTGTATAACTTCTCTTTCCCTTGCATCTCCTTCCATTCTCACCCTACCCTATCCTCCCAAATCCTATAATTGCCATTGATTCTAATGCTCTCCCCTAGCTCCTCCACCAGTTTCCATATGGGGGTCTCAGCTATATCACTGAGAGGCCACCAAAGCCCAGTTTCCTGAAAGCCTCCATTTGAGGTCTAGCTCCTAGTCAGAGAAAAAGGCCCAAATTGATTTCATTCATGTACATTCTTTTCCTTCCTGGTCAACACAAAGTCAGTCATTGTAAGGGTTGATACCAAGTGGCCACTGAAGGAAGCTCTCTGACCAAAACCTTGACCGAGGCAGAAACCTATTCTCTGTGAACTGTTTATTCAGCAGGTAAAGAGCTCACAACTTGTAGCTTTTCCCAGGTTTGCAACTGAAAACTAAAATATGTAAGGACCTCAAATTGTTTCCCCAAAGTCTCCCAGTGAGTGGCGGTGGCTTCACTGAGGTTCAAGGCCCAGTGCCTTCCTCAAGTCGGGCTCCTTCACCACTAGACCACACAGTCGATGCTCAGCCAGTACTCAGCAACCTCAAGCTCCAGGCCTGAAGAAATAGATTTTCCAACAACAGACCTGTTTTTGTGAACAATTCAGCAAAATTTCTCTTTCCAGCTGTGAGTTGGGCTTCATGTTGCAAATGTTGGTGTTAATTAAAAACATCCACCTTCTACAGTTTCAACAACAAGGAAAAAAGTACCATGCAGAATGCATTCCTAAGCACTCCTCCTCAAAGCACTTATAAATATGTGTTTTATTTATGATACGGTTGCTGGGGGGCCTCCTCACAGATATTATCATTCCCAATTTTTGGTCCCAATGAGAGCTGACCCCACACCCCCAGGATGAGTGGAATGCCATAGAATAAAGTTATTGTCAGAAGAAACAAAAATACTGTTCCTGGTGTACAGCACCTACAATTTTCAACTTTCTGCATTAGTATCAGGAACTGCACACCTAGCTAAAATTAAATATATATCTGTTGAACCACTAAAAATTTTCTTCACCTGACTTAGTCTTTCTGACATGAACAAATGATGTATGTCAAGGCCAGAGACATTCCAAAAGGGATGATCCAATACATTCATTGTATTGGGATGTTAAGAATATTTCTATTATAGTTCACCCCTTTATTAGAAAATCTTCATGTAAAATGGTCCAGAGCTTGGGGGATCACACAAAATGAACTGCATTTCTTCCGGTGCCTGTCTCTGGTTGGTGAATTTGTCCTGCTTCACTACATGATCCAGACAGAAAGAATCAAGCCAAAGCCACATCATTATGAATGAATTTCTTCATCTTTAATTTCACACAGTTTAAAATACAATATGAAATCAGGCTACAGTATATAAAAAACTCTCCAGCAAAATGATGTGCCAGCATCAGCTACTAAAATAAACAAACAAAAACTCCCTGGTAAGAAATATTTTTTTGCATTTAAAAAAAAAACACATAGACACTTACATCGCTACATCTCTAAGCTACCTCAGTTCTGATTTTTAAAAAGCACCTGCTTTTCCTTTTTTATCTCACTTTAAAATTTTCAGCTTTTAAAAAATATAAATTATATGAAAATACAAGTTGGAAAATAGTCAAACACAATATAACATCTTTTTCACTCCAATACTTCTCAGCTTTAAAAAAAAGTATTCTTAAAAAAAAGTTCAATAACTGAGGCAGTGTTCCTGATAGAGATAATTTCATTTTAATATATATATGTCATATATGTATATGTATACATATACTTATGGTTCCTTGACACTTCTTTGGAATGTAGGTAAAAATTCAACAAATTTATATAGACCCCAACAGAGAAAGCAGCATGCACAGCATGACTAGAAGAGAGAAAACATATTTTTCCCCATGAAGGTTAGGCAGGTTAATGCTCTAAAACCCAGAGTGCTCGTCTCCAAAGTGAGGAAGGGCACATCTGATCTTGGAATCCTACTGCCAATCCCCATGGCCACAATCAGGCTCTGTGTAGGGAAGTCTCTCCCATGAATGCAGAAAGGAACCCAAGTGACTCTGGGCCCAAAAGCCAAAACCCACATAGATTAAGGCATCTCCAGGAAAATATAAGGGTTTCACCCAACTAGACCTGATTTGCCCGTCCTTCCTCTGAAGTTAACATGTGTTTTTAAAAAGCATAAATGCAACAATGCTGCTACATTTCCAGTGTATAAACCACCCACCACTCTTCTTGGGATGGTCTCTGGCCTTTGGACAAAAGGGGAAAAAGCATATGGCCAGATGGACAAAGCTGTCTGTATTAATACACTAGCTACAAATCCTGAAAATGGTGGACGTAGGGAGAAAGGGCATCTTAGCAAAAGTGTGGGCTGAGGAGCACGAGGAGGCACTTTCTTACACCTTATCTGCTACGGGGATTGCAGGGATTGGACAGACTCACAGAAGGGGAGGTTTTCAGTGTACATTTCATAGGAAAGGCTGATGACTTGAGACGGCGATTTCATGCCTAGTTGTAAACAGTAAGCATTGACCGATACCCGGCCTTGGTTCTGCTCTCATCCATCACTGAAATGTGAAAAGACTTAACTAGAAAGTTCAGGAATTATTTCAGCTGCAATTTTGCATGTTCACAAACCACACACACACACACACACACACACACACACACACACACACACCCTTTGCCAGGGCCCAACAAAGATCACATAACCTAAGAGAAAACAATATCATCCAAACAGTTCCAACCTAACACTCCCTGAGCAGCTCCTAAAATATTTGGAGAAGTTCATTAAGGCACCTGCATCTGTAGGATCAAATACACAGCTGGGATCACTCTGCCTTTGCTTTATACATGTATACGCCAATTGGTTCATATGGGGACCCTTGTGGATCACAGAGCTAGTTCCTGATAATTCAGGGCCTGCAAGGGAATCTGGGAGTCAGCAGCACACCAGTGCTAACTAAGGTAGTTAGCACTTCCAGTTTCTTAGCTAAATCCGCAAAAGGGCCAGCCCTGAGAAGATCATCTGCAATTTCTTCCCCTCACTCATGTTCACAGCAGTCCCTTCTCAGCTTTATAACTGGCCATGTCTTCAGTGGGAGGAATTCTAATTACATTAGCACACTTCCTTACTACTTAGATGTTGGGATTTGCCCCAAACATCATTTTTCGATTCATCTTACAAATAGCAGAAAGATAACTCCCTTTCTTAACTGTATTTAAATTGGGGGGAGGCTAAAAATGTACCCAAATCTCATGGACCACCTTCTTTTAATCACCCAAGCTCCTTTCCTTATTTTCTCTGCCTTCAAGTCATTCCTCCCTTCTCCCATTAACGTTCGCTCACCCTCTGGCAGGGCAACAGATCCAAGCACAAGGCCCAGGGTCATCTGCACCACCTCCTCTGCATGCAAATTTCATCTGACATCCTACCCTCCTAGCTGCAATTCTGCAAAGGAAAGCCTTGCACATCTCTTCCCCAAATCAGCCAAGTTATTCTGTACTCAAATGCTTCCTTAGTATCTGTGGTACAAGTACACTCTTCAGTTCCGCGGTGTTTGAAGTCACTTTTTCAGTCATCTATCAGAAAGCTTATGTTTCTCTCTGCTGAATACTGGAGAGGGGGCAATAAATGTGGGATGCTGGAAGAATAAGATATAAAGGAGAAATTTTAGAGTATTAGTTTGGAACAACATGCATTCAGGATATGCTTCTTAAGACCTGAGAGGGTAATGCCCATGCACACAGCTTTAATTCCAAGTCATCTATGTTATAAGTAGAGAATTATCAAGAACCAAGTTAATCTTCCTCCTTCAATTTCCTTTCCATGACTTCAGCAGTGCTGCTACCTTGACCACTGTCCAAACCCAGGGCTGCCAAAATACATTCAGTTCACAGACTTAATGCTTCATAGATTAACATTAAGTCTAAACCCCGAGAATCCATAAATGACAAATAAGTAAAGGGCTGTGACAATATTTTAAAAATTATAGAAGAAATGCACACACACAGTTCCCCTGCACCCAAATCAGCATTACTATTTCCTTCATATATAAGTCACATGAATTTGGGATCCCTGATCTCAGTGGCTGAGCTTTGCTTTTCCAATGGGGTCTATATAAACAGTTTTCTTTCAATGTGACAAAATCCTCAGCCAGCAAATAAGAACAAACTTGCATGATACTGCAATACTGAGACCACCTTAGAGCTTAAGACAATTTCTTGAGAAAAAAAAATACTGGCACAAAATTTCATAAAATAAATTTTAACACAAAAACAGTTTGGACCCCTCCCCCTGAAAGTCCATCTTTTTTTTCAAAAAGCAGAGTGAAAGGTACATAATCCTTGGTTTTTACTCCATCCCCCAAAGAAAATGTTCTCATCCCACCCTCCTCATCTTTCCCTCCCAGATTCAAAAACAACTGTAAATTAATTGCCTTTCACCAGTCTTGTATTCTCGATGTAACAATTTCTCTTGCAAATGGGTCCATAACTCAAGATGTGCTTTTGTCATGGATGATTTTAAAACACGATTAGACACATTAGTCACTTCTTTCCTTAAGCCAGATCCTTCAAGCTTCTAAGACCCTTTTCTCTCTCCTGAAAACCTGCTGAAGACCTTCTGGCCCCTCCACCCCGCAAGTCCTGGCTTTCCCGCTCAACCACGCAAAATGGATTACAGCTGCAGCTCCCTTAGCTCCCACCCCTGAATGTAAAAAATGAGTTCTGGAAAATAAAAAATAGAATAACAATTAAAAATTAAGAGTCCGACCAACACAGTTGTTCTCTGAAAGGTCTCAGAAAGGTAGCCCCGGCCCTTCCACGTCCATCACTCGTCAGCGTCGGGCTTGACATCCAACATGGCATGGAGCTCCTCGGGGGTGTACCCCAACAGGCTCTGCAGGTCACAGACAAAGCGGTACACATAGCGTTTACCCGCCGTCTTGTGGATGATGTTTTTGTCATAATAGTAGCGTAGACCACGGCTCAGTTTCTCGTAATTCATCTTAGGCTTGTTTTTCCTCTTTCCCCATCTCCTCGCCACCTGAAATTTAAAAAATTTTAAAGGAGCACGTAAAAATCTATAGGATATTCTCCAAATATGTATTTATGTGTCAGTATTGATTTATGATGGCCTATCACATTCAGATAAGTGAATCAGACATCTATGCACCTATAGAAAGTACTTTCTGAACTGTCCTCTGAATTGTTTTTCTTATAATATTTTAATTTTTAATTATCACACAACAGTTACATATATATTTATGAGGTACAATGTGACATTTCAAGAGGTATGCACAACATGTAATGATCAGATCAGGAAGCTGGCATGGGTATCACCTCGGCTATGTATCATTACTTTCTGTAGAACCATGCGAAATCCTCTGCCCTAGCTACTTTGAAATATTCAATTAGTTGTCAACCACGGTCATCCTGCTATGCTGCAGAACACTAGACGCTATCCCTTGGGCTCATTCCCAGGCTCTTGGAACCTCTGCTCTGTCGCCTACTTCTATGGGACCTACTTTTTAGTTTCCACATTTAAGTGATAACATGCAGTATCTTTCTTTCTGTGCCTGATTTATTTCACTTAATGAAATGTTCTGCAGTTATACACATGTTGTTGCAAATGACAGAATTTGTGAATTCTGGCTTTTGAAGGTTGGGCAGGGATGGCAGTCAAGTTAGTTATTTAAACTGATGAAAATACAGTGACCTTAAACTCCTACGGAATGAGGTTAAAGAATGTGGTTCCTAGAAAAAAAGGAAGAGCCCCACTATAAACTCTCTTCTTTCCTCATATCATTAGTAGAATTTTCTTGCTTTGAAAGCCTGAAATGTACAGGGAGGGTGTGGAGAGGAAGAGCTGAGCTACAATTGTACCTGTTCGTCACATCAACAGGAAGCATTCTCTCTATACAGGGCACAAATATTTTCTCATGTCTGCCAGAACAGAGATCTTGTCTGCCTTGTTCATTGTTTTTTATCATCAGAATCAGGCATGGCACTGATCAACCACTCAATAAGCATTTGTGTAAGGAAAGAATGAATGGATGAACAAATTGCATGAAACTTCCAAGGCCTCTTGAACTGGTCCCTTGCACAGTCACAAAGACACAGCCTTAGAAAAGTGCTAAGTCTGAGAAAGCAACTTCACTGATGAAGGGCCTACTATTTGCCAGGCACTTCATGTGCTTATCAGTTAACCCTAGAAAACAAACAGGAAGTGTGTGTATTTTGTTTTCCAAAAGATGAAACTAAGGCTTTGGCAGGCTGTACAACTTGTTCAAGGTCACACAAGCAGCAAATGGTAGAGCTGGGACTGTACTCCTACCAAATGTCACCAGCCCTGGTCCAGGATAAGTTTTCTCTCACCCTCCCTCAACTCTTAGGTTGCTGCTTTCTTACCTCATCTGGGTCAGAAAGTTTGAATTCCCAGCCATCTCCTGTCCAGCTGATAAAAGACTGACAGGATTTATCAGTGAGTAATTCCAGAAGAAACTGCCACAGCTGGATTGGTCCACTGCCTGGAAACACAAGGCATTGTGAATCATTATACCACATATTCAGAGCTCTCAGCAACTAATCTCACTATATAGCGTCTTTCCCCTGCCGCCGCCGCCGCCCCCCCCCCCCCAGTCTTAGTCTGTATAGTCAGGAGAAAATGAGGGCAACCTGTAACACAGATACTGGAAAAGGTACTTTGAGCTCAGATAGACTAAAAAGAGGGACTTTCTACCACACATGCACAAGAACCATGTAAGATAATTATATCTATTCCTCTATTTTTATTGACTGAAGAGTCAGTCCATTTTCATTGCTAAGCAAACTCTAGAAAGAAAATACAGGGTCTAATCTTCTGAAATATTCTAAGGAAGCATAAACTTATATGACTTCAAAAACTAAGCCATTGTGTTTGCCTTAAGAAGAAAAGCATGAATTAAGGAATGCTTTGCTGATTCCAAGCAGAAATCAGAGCTCATGAGCACTCCTCTCTAGTAGAGCACCTCTGGCCTCTTATTTGTGAATGGGAAGGGAAACAGATGCTCTGCAGTCACAGTATTCCTCACCACCATAGCTGCAAGTGCCAGGCCATGTATAGGCAAGCACCCAAACTAAGCAAGGAAGGCTTCCTGACTACACAGAATCAACTTGCCACCCAAGGAAGCCTGGAGGCTGGGTGACAACTGCCCCAGACTGTCCTCATAGGTTCAATGTGTACACGCACACACTATTCTCTTGCCTCAGCATCAACAGTCTCAAGATCTCAGCTCTAAATGAGGCCGGGTGTACTCCACCAGTCATGTTATCCTATGCTAAAGGGTTTACACTACATCATCTCCTCTTATAGACCTTTCTATTCTTTCTATGATGGAGCCACCAGCAGCTCCTATGTAATTTGTGGGTTTAGCTGGAGACGCTGACATGTGTTTGACAGTGTGTGTGGGGCTCCTTACCTGGCTACACTGTATCCTATGACACCATCTCACATACCATCCGAGGACAGGACTGTGAATGACCCAACCAGCAGATGAAGCCTGGGATGCTTCACTCATAAGACCTGATGTTCTAAGGCTTTAATCCTTAGCCTCAGCAATTTCAAGTACGTTTGATCCAAAGTCAACTGAGATTCTACAGGAAACAAGCTTTAAGACCCTCTCCATCTAAAAGAAAAGCTTCCTTATGCTCTATATGGCTAATCTCTTATAATATCTTACAGTTCTTTAAGGTGTACTTGCCTACATCATTGTACTTGGTCCTAAAATCCTTTCTCCACTCATGTACTATAAGCTGGGCATAGGTAGTCCTACAGTTTCCACCCTACAGATGCAGCAAAAGGAGCTCAAGAAAGTAATGCAACTTTGATCCAAGGTCAGACTCTAAGCACCAAAGCAGCTTCCACTGATCCTATGAAGAGAAAACAGTTACTGACCTGTTCGGTCAGTCAAGAGGCCACGGATGCTTTCCTCCAGCAATGACTTTCTAATGGTGGTTTCTAGTGCACTCTCTCAGCACACCTGTGCCAAATATGGAATAAGAGATATCCCTGCCTCATCTTTCTGAGAATGCACCATTAGCTCTTTAAAGCCATCTTGCAAGAAACACCTTACACGTACTTAAGAATAAAAGGATTTGGCAAATACCTCCAAACTAAAGCGACATTTGAGCAACCAGTCCAGAGGGCTGCACTGGTAAATCTTCACTTCCTGTCTGTCTCCCCATTGTTAAAAAGCCATTTAGTTTACAACTCAGGTTTCTTGAGAATTAAGTTGGCGGCTACTGCTCCTTACCTGGACTCACAACACTAAACATGGCATTATATGAAGAATCCATAGAGAGGCCATTCTAATGGGCCCAGAAGGAAAGAAAGCAAATTGCTCTTAAGAAATGCACTTGCAAGAGTCCCTGCGACATTACAGGCTTCCTGATGAAGTTCACAGAGACTGCAAACAATAGGATCCCTAAAGATAAACAGACACAGAAAGAAACAGCCACCCTGAAGTTCTGCAAAGTCAACACTACAAACCTTGGATGTGTCTGGGGAGAAGGCTGCTTTAGGACCTCTGACAGAGAAGGACACTGACAGGAGTCATGCCTTATTGCGCACCTGCCACACACCAGACTGAGTGACGCTTAAGGCCACCTCATGGCCCTCACGTTAAGTCTAGGGGTTTATACTGTTGGTATTCTATTTGTTTGCACCACTTTACAACAGAGGAAGCTGATACACTACATGGTTGTCTAACTTGTGCAAGATCAGAAGTAGGACAGCTGGGACTGGGACCCAGCCAGTCTGGCCTCCAAACTTTTTATTTCAACACTATCTTTGCCCTAAGATGAGATCAGACTAAAAGCCTGGCATCTAAACTGCTTGCCTAGTTCCAATGACTAAAGGGCTAAAAGGACTTGGCTACTTCTCACATTAGCCTCAAGGCACTAGATAGCTCCTCTTGGCTTCAGCAGCCACCCTCACAGGTAGTATTTCCAGCCCTAGTGGTGGCGTCCTCTTGTGATGGCTAGGTTATGCTGTATCATTACTTCCCCCTCCCATTAATTATCCCAGAACCTCTCTCACTGTCTTAAAGTCTCTGGGGCCTAATATACCAGGCTAAAGAAAGGGATGGAAAGATGGAGAAACCAAGGAAGTCCTAGGCACTGGTAGATGTGGCAGGCACATGCAAGTTCTGGGGAGGAAGCCCAAGGGACAGCACAGCCTCTGCCTTCAGACTTACAGCCATGGCTCAGAGAAGGGGACTTCATTCATGACACAGGCACCAGCTCAGACCAGAGAACCTCAGAGGGAATTATTATTGCCCTTTCTCCCCCAGCACCATTTCCTGAATTGAAATGTCAAGCAGTCCTTAGCCCTTGTGTGATTCAAACAACCAATGTCTATGAACAGCCCAGGGACAGGGTGAGTCCTCACTTGCTGAGGTTTTATTCCTTACTGTGAGCTTTCCTATGTTCAGAGGAACATTAAAACATTAAATTTGGGCACTGAAAACCCCAGTCCTAGGCTCTGTGCTCTCAAACTCTTTTTGCTATTAATAAGAAAGGTAAGGAGGGACAAATAGGTAAAGCAGGTGCGTTGGGAAAGCAGATGAAGTTGAATGGGAAGAAACAACTCTGGTTAGCTTCACAGCCAGAAAGGCCAACATAGTGGCGCTGTCAGCTCAAGTCTCCTTCCTGGATGCTACAGAGGACTCCTATGAGTGCAGTTGGCTGACAGGCACATGGCAGTGTCCTCACCCATGAGGGAGCCCACTTGTACCTCAGATGACAGGACCCCATGATCCTCCCGAATCATCCCCTCTGGTGCCTTTTCACTGATTCCTAAAACTGCCCTTCAGTTGTGGGGAGCAACAGAAATGGGAAAGGGATGGAGTTGTTCTCTGGGCTATAAATGTTGAGCCCTGAAAGAGTTCTGGCTTCAGGGGGCACTGGTTCCCTGGAGTGTCTTACACAGGAGCTGCTTCTGCAGCCCACATCACCCTCGATTTGGGTCTGAGAGGGTGAATCAGGGCCTCTTGAAGTCAGCTCTGGGGTCACAGTGCACCCTGATTCCACTCATCTACCAGCCTCATCGACAACTATGGCCCAGACTGGTAGAAACAATGAATGGGTCTCACACTGCCACCTACAACCCACCCTAAGAGCACTTCTGTTCTGCCAGGAGCAGATCTGCTCAAACCATATGGCTGCAGGGCCCCATCCCTTGCCCTTGCTCCACTGCACTCTGCAATAGAAGCCTCTTCCTCCATTCTCCTTGCACACTCCCTGCCCCTGACCCAGCCTATCCACCTACCTAGATGGACTGTGGTCCCAGTGACCTTCATGCCCCTGGGAGCGAGACCAATACTAAGAATAGCACCAGCCATGGGAAAGGGGAGCTCACATGAGTGTGACTCACAATGGTGTCCCTGTCTGGGGCCCCAGGCAGTCAACAGCACCCTTCACCACGCTGCCCTGCAGTGTCACACATCAGGAATCCAGTGGCATCACTGGGAAACTATGCTTCTCAAGTGGTGCTCTGAGCCACAACAACAGAGGGGTCCCTGTTAGGAGGAGGTCTCTTTCCAAGGCAATCAGGGGGGAGGGAGGGCACCCCACACACAGGCCCCATCTCCCATCCTGCTGAGCCTCCACACCCCTTGCACTGTCCCAACTACCCATTTGCCTGCCTGCCTCCCTGGCTGCAGCTGGGGAATTTCCTCTGGATGCTTTGTCCAAGAGATAGGAGGGAAATTCTAACTACAGTACTCATGGTCTTGGTTTAAAGAATATGATACTGCCTTGGAAGAAGAAATATCAGGTGGGTACATGGAGCATTCAGGCAGCAGAGCAGGTCACCCTGCAAATGTTTCCCTCCAGAGGGGACCCTCTAGACACTACAAACCAAAGACAAAAATCTCTTTCTTTTTTTGGGGGGGGGGGCGAAGGTACAGCTTCAGATAAATTCTTGCTCATTGTGCTCATATTTTAAGTCTCTTCCCCTTTGGAAACTGCACAGCCTATTTATCTCAGTAAGGGCTGGCTATTAAAAATCCTCCACTGTTTTGGTCCCTTACCCTGAGACTAAGAACTGAGCAACTTAATATAATATTCATACTGGGCTAGGACAAAATTGTAGTAAGTTCTTTTTTCTTTTCTTCCCATATTGAAGATTGAACTCTAACACACGCTAGAAGCTCTAGCAGTGAGCTACATTCTCAGCCCTTTTATTTTGAGTCAGGGTCTCTCTTAAGTTGTCCAGGCTGGTTTTGAGTTAATGATCATTCTGCCTCACCCTCCTGAGTTGCTGGGATTACAGGTGTGTGCCACTACCTGAGCTTTCTTAAAATGTTCTTGATAATAATCCTTCCTTTTGCCAGTTTGTATCTTTTTTTTTGCTTTCCAGTCTTGGAGGCTGGTGAACAGGATTTGGGTTGGACTTCAGTTTTTCCTCCTACTCCTTCCTCATTTCCATTTCGACCACAAGTGCACACTCTGCCATCTGTCCCCTGGCAACAGGCTGACACAGGACAGC